TTTATATGGTATCAAAGCACATTTTGACAAACGTCAATGGTGGATCCAAAAACTCCTCAATTTTAAGCCTTCAACATAGAAGGAAAAGTGATGAATTCACTCTCATCCTCAGCGCTTACCAATACATTACCTACTGTCATGGTGAAACTAAACGAGAAAAACTATGGCTATTGGAAGTCACAAGTGTTTCCAGCCTTGAAAGCATACGAATTAGAAGGTTTTGTGTCTTCTCCTTTTATTCTTTCTGAAACTGATGAACCAAAGAAGATAGTAAATCCAAAATATACCTTATGGAAAAAGATTGATCAATTTGTGTTCAGTTGGTTAATGTCCTCAATTTCGGAAACAATGTTTTAGGCATGTAGCTAACTTTGAAACTACACATGAAATCTGGAACACTTTAGAGATGTATTTTCTAACTGATTCTAAGGCTAGATTTTGCATCTAAGGAATCAATTACAAACCACAAGAAAAGAAAATTCCAATATTAACGATTATGTGCTAAAAATGAAAGAGATTGCTAGATCCTTAACCATAAGCGGTGTGACCGTAACTGACGAAAAATTGTTGGTACATTTGCTTGATGGACTTAGACCATAGTATGATGCCATGGTAGCAACCTTAACCGCTAGAAGTAATGAAGTAACACTACAAGAAGCATAATTTCTATTGCATAAGCATGAAATGAGGTTGGAGAAACAACACTCGGCCTATATAGGGTTCCATGAAGTTGATGCGTTCATTGCAAACAAACAATCTGTTAACTCATAACCTCAACCAGTCATGCTAGTTGCAAACACCTTAGAGCAGCAAAAAAATCAATTTACATAGACCTTCTCACAGAATCAAAATGAGCCGAAAAATTCCTATCAATTTGCCCCAAATTTTCAAACCTATACTCCAAATTTTGGTCAAAGTAGAGGAAGAGGAATGAACTTTTACAAACCACGATTATTTTGCCAATTGTGTGGGAAAAGTGGCCATATGGCTCTCTGATGCTACCATCATTTTGATACCTCCTTCAAGGTAATCAAAATCACAGGCCCTCCTTTGGTTTTGAGTATAATTCATCACCACAATCTACTCAGGCTTTAGGTTCTGCCCAAGCTTACTTTGCTAATACCCAACCTGGTTACTTCAACTATTACTCCAACCAACCTTTCACTAACTCACCACTAGTTATGTATCCTCAAATGACTCCTCAGAATGTTGTACCAAACAACCACTCACCATCTCAAATCAACATGCCACAACAACACCCTGGTAGTTTAGGGGAGAATCAACTGAAGCAATTTTCTAGAGCAAAACAGTAAAACCCAATAGCAACACCTCTCACAATAGCAAATCCTAACTGGTTTGATCTCTGAAATCTTTCTCTCAAAAATCAGTACACTGGATCAGAATCCTTGCAAGTCGGCAGTGGCCAATGCTTGGATATCTCTCATACAGGTTCAACTGCTCTCCCTTCTTTTTGTGTTGGCAAACCCTTAATTACACCTCAAAAATATTCTTTGTGTTCCACATGTGACAAAAAATCTGGTTAGTATACCTAAAATAACAAGGGACAACAACGTTTTGGTTGAATTCTCTACCGATGAAAGTGTTATTAAGGACAAGGCTTCACAAGTGGTTCTTCTTAAGGGCTTTGAATATAATGGCTTATACCAACTTGATGTTCCCACTGGAAATGGTGTAAGTGAAAGATCATCATGCATGCATGAAGAGTGGTGGAAATGGAGAAGAAAGCATAAAAAAAATTGGATTCAAAAAACCGGTTTTCAAACAAAGCTTGGAAAAGAGATTATACCTAGTCCTTTGCTTTGGATTGATGAAGATCAGCCTCAAAGTAATGAGACCTTCACACTTTAACACCACCTTGAGAGGTTTAGAGAGTGGTCGTGGCTTTTAGAGAGAGTTTTGGTTTTGCTTTGAGTGAACAATGTGTGTTATGAACAAAAATGCAACCTTTTGCATTTATATATACTTGGGCAATTTTGCAATTATTTATTTTTCACTTCCAAGCCCAATAAAATCTTATTTTATAAAGGGACCCCACGAATTTAATATGCTACCCTTTGAATAATCAATATTATTCAAGGGCCCATGTAAACTAAACTAGTTTACATTAACAACCCATAAATTTACCCTTTTTACCCTTTAACTATTAAAAGGTTATTTTTGTTCATCTCATTAATCTTAACACTTTAAGATATAATAATTAAATATAATTAATTATTGCTTGACCATTTTAACCCTTAAAATGTCACAAATTGTTTTCTATGTAACTATTACTATAGAAATCCCGTTATTACCCTCGGAAGGTGCTAGCCCTCTTCGGATAATCATTTCTCTCTCTCATCATTCTCTAACTTCTCAAGGCTATTGGTGTGACCATGTAGGTCCACCGTGGATTAGCCGTGAGCCGGTTCTGGATGAATCCGGAAACCCGTCCGGAGGCCCAACGACTATGGTAAACATCTAGCAATGTGCCATAGTCCCTAAACCACGATGAAGAAATACTTCATCGAACCCATTTCAGATCATACGTACCATGCAGGTAAAGTCCCTCCATTGAGATATCCTAATCGAGTATGGATTCATGGAACGTCAAAATCCTAAACTCGATCTTCTACCGAATTGTCGATCAATATGTCCGGAACTTGTCATCACAAACTTACTTTTGTATGACTAATAATAGACTCTGGCCAGAGATTCAGTTTTCCGACATTTATCGATGTTCGTCTAGGAACTCGAATCCGGATGGAGTCAGCGGTACTCCCGATCCTATATTTCCGAGTCAATGGATCCCCTCTTGACCATCGTTCGTTTCCGCATATGAACAACGCATGACCAAATAGGCTTTATTGTACGAAACATGATTAGTCTCGTACTTATACACCGTATGAACCATACGCATCCATATCGGATCCGACTACAATGTCTCAGGTCAAAGGACTACATCGTGCACTGATATAACCAAACGATAAATCATTGACTACATGCTTTTCCAAGTGATTTGTCGTTATTCGGTCACGTTCGAAAAACAGTTCACCAACCGTTAATCCATACCAATGCCCCAGTGACATGACTATCATCGTCATCCGTACTTATATCAACTCATGATATCTTTCGGAAGCATCCGGTATGCCTACTGTACAATATAGTTGCCCAAATTTATATTGCTTCCGTAGGGAACCCTTTTCGATAATTCATTTACCTATTAAATGAATCATCTGGACAATTCATATACATACTTTATTTTAAATGCATGACTGAATAGAGGAAGCAATTTACATATATGAATTGAAGAACTCTTTCTTCTATTATTTATGATATATATAGATACAAGACAAAATGCTCTGAAACCGACAACACGAATGGTTTCTAGGGCATACACTAATATACACTAACAATAAGTTGGCAAGATGTGTCTTTGTCACCCAATCACTCTCAATGCTATCTGTCATAAGTCTCAACCACTTCTCCGGCATCTTCCTACAATCTGGCGACTACTTCTGGTTATTTGACATAGTCAGCAAGTGATTTAGTTTCTCTCAATAAATCTAATGTAGTTAAAAATAAAAGTCAGTCTTTATCACTTGATAGTGACATTGATCTCTAGTATAGGAGGCAAGGTCATCCTTATTTTTCTGTTTTAAAATGTCTTGTACCAACATTGAATGCATAGAATAATGCAATAAATAAAGCAGGGTTTTGTGAAGCTTGTCAATATGGCAAACTTCACCAAAATTCCTTTCCACCTTCTGTTACTTGGTCATCTAATATGTTTGAGCTGATTTTTACTGATGTTTGGGGACTTACGCCTATAGTTTCTGCTACATGTTTCTGATATTATCTTTTATTTGTTGATGATCATACAAGATACTCATGGATATATCCTCTTAAAGTGAAATTTGAAGTTACCACTGTTGTTCAACAATTCACTCAACTTGTGTCTCAAAAATTTAATAGTAAAATAAAATTGTTTCAATCTGATTGGGGAGGCGAGTTTAGACCCTTGGCTCATTTTTTTGTTCAACAAGGTATTCATTTTAGCCATCCTTGCCCTCAGACGCACCAGCAAAACGATAAGATTGAATGTAAGCATCACATGTGATAGAAATAGGGCTGACCTTGCTGGCACAAGCTTTTCTTCCACTTCGCTTCTGGTGGTTTGCTTTCCATATAGCAGTATATTTGATTAATAGTCTACCTTCCTCTATGTTATCAAATCAGGTTTCCTATTACCTTTTATTTCAAAAGACACTAGATTATAGCACTCTTATAATCTTCGGTTGCCAGTGTTTCCCCTTTATTAGACCATATCAGAAACACAAATTTGCATTTCACACTGAACAGTGTGTTTTCCTGGGCTACAGTCCATATCATAAGGGGTATTTGTGTCTCAATTCAAGTGGCAGGGTGTATACTGTACAAAGTGTTGAATTCAACGAGGTAGTGTTTCCTTTTTCTACCAACTTTACTATTGATCATACCTCAGGATCTGATACAACCAGTGTACCTTTTTTGTCATAGCCTTGGCGGCTTCCTATCACCTTATCTTCTCCTGTTGATTCTTCCAATACATGTCAATATCAGGACTTTTCTTCGGGGCTTTCTACCAACTCTTTATGTAGGTCTTCTCCACAACAAGATCCTCTAAGCAGTTCCACTTCATGTAGTACTTCTATTGGTCATCCTACTCACTTCTCTGTGCATCCTTTCTCTGACTCTAGCCTCTTCTACTACTTTCATGGCTCCACTGTTGTCTACATTCTAGTGTATGTTGATGATATATTGCTTACTGGAAATGACAACTCTCTCATTCACCAAGATGTAGCTGACTTGGACGCCGCTTGTGGTCTTAAAATTCTCGGATCTGTTTCCTAGGCATTTCAGTGAATCACAATGCTCATGGATTACAACTAAACCATAGCAAGTATGCTCAGGAGATTCTCCTCAAGTTTGGTATGCATAACTATAATCCTTGTGCCACTCCTATGGTTCTTGGATCCAAATTACGTTTTGATGACAATCCTCTATTTGATCAACCCACCGCCTATAGAAGCCTCATTGCTGCACTACAATATCTCACTATGACTCGGCCTGATCTCTCCTTTGCCATGAATAAACTGAGCCAATTTCTTAAGGCCCCAATCGTCAACCATTGGCATGCCTGCAAACATGTCTTGCATTATATCCAAGGCACTCTACACCATGGTCTCACTTTTCGACAAGGTTCTACCCTCCAGCTCAAAGGTTATGTCGATGTTGACTGGGCCAGTAGCCTCTCTCATCGCAAATCCACAAGTAGTTATTGTATTTTCCTTGGCTCTAATCTGGGTCAATGGAGTTCCAAGAAACACCAGGTTGTTGCCTTATCATCTACCAAAGCTGAATACCGTGCCTTGCCTCAAGCCTCCATCGAGATCATATGGCTTCAAAATTTATTTCAGGAACTTCACGTGTCTATCCCAGGTATTCCAGTTCTCTGGTGTGATAACACCAGTGCTGGTGCCCTTGCTTTCGATCCTATTTTCCATGCCCGCACAAAACACATTGAAATTGATGTGCATTTTGTTCAAGAAATGGTTTAGTCCAAGCGCCTAGTTGTCCAATATGTTGCCTCTTCCTTTCAAGTTGCCGATATCCTCACCAAACCATTGTCCAACTCTTGCTTTCAACTTCTGTGTGATCAACTTTGGATTTTTGCTTCTCTTTCTGAATTTGTGCTTGAGGGACAATTAGTGTCGCAAAAATAAGCATCAAATTTCATATTCAAATAAAAATTACAAGAAGCATTGAAGATGAAATGAATAGTGGAAGAAATGAGACTGAAATTGAAACTGTTGATTGAAAATTGAAACCTTAAAATTCAAATGGTCTTTGATCTGAGGGATGAAATCTTGTTGATGAGCTTGAGTCGACTTAAGAAGTTCTGTAATTTTTTTTTTTTCAAAGTATCATGAGCTTACTTGGAAAATTTAAGCTTACTTGAAAGGTTTACTTGAGTCCTTTTTTGGCTTGAGGGACAATGTTAACCATGCATGCAAGCCTCAAAAGACTCAAGTAAGAAACGACAACTCGCTGTGTCATTTTACTTCTTTTCAACTCAGCCTAAATTGGTGCCAATCCACAGTCCACGTGAGCTTCTTCTTCAACCCAGGAAGCGTTGGTTGTAACAGAAAAACATTCCTGCTGAATCGAATGGTTGAAATAGAAAGTTTTGTGTTTGTTTATTATTCTGATAAACGGTAGAGATCCAAGTTGACAAGGATCGTAACAAACTTTCCTATAAATTGTAAAGAAATGTTCCACTTTTCATTTTTGAGAAAAAAAATAAGAGTTACTCATATTTTTCCAGAAAAATCTTCAACTATCACTCTCTATTTTTTTCTTCAGTTTTTCTTTACTCTGTTCTTTGAGTACTTTATAGCGCATGAGGCAAATCATTGTAAACCATGCCGAGTACTCTTGAGGTTAGATTTCTAGGACTTTCTCTTATTCTATAATTGAGTGAGCGACCTGTGTAATCTTTAGTGATTTTTGTCTTTAAATAGTGAAGCAAGAGTTTGTATAGAAGTCAACATGGTCATAGGTTTGTTAACACCTCAACTATGGTGTTGTGCTTGGAAAAGTAGGGCTGATGCAGAACCTTATCAGCGCAAGTGGTCAGAGCTTAGGTAAGTCCAGGTGTCGCTTAGGTGCAGCCACGTCGCTCGCTAACGCAAGAGGCTTGCTCATGCCAGTGCAGTAGGCGTGCGTCAGGCTAACGAAAGGTTGGACGTGATCCACGTGTCCAATCCTAGCAAAACTCGAGTGAATTACTCAAGCAGGTGAAATAACGGGGCGTAAGGAAGGATTTGCACAGCAATCTGACCCATTCACGGATTTAGTAATCATTACATGATTTCATCCCACTATAAATAGAGAGCTCCTCTCTCGTTTCTAGGATTGGTTCATTTCACTCTGTATTAGCTAATCTTTCTTTGTAATAGCTTACATATTCTCTCTTTGTAATCACTTGCAAGTCAGCTCACTAAACACGACCTGACCTCAGTATATTAATACAATATCAGTGGACATAGGAGTCGCTTGTTGGAGTATCTGAACCACTTTAAACACCGTCCCCCATCTTTTATCCATTATCAGACCCCCAATCACGTGTGTTCTCTAAGTCAGCTCAGCATTTCACACGTGTGTTTCGTTGGTGTCAAAATCACGCATCAACAGTTTGGCGCTAAAAGGAGGGCCTGATTTAGTATTCGTCCTTCATCAGGAGAATCTCTAACTAACTGGTCCTACAACAGCAAATGGCTCGCAGACTCAAATCTGAGCGAACCAATCATGGTAATGAGGGAGTCCCCCAAGTGCAAGAGGGCACTTCTCCCGAAGTCCCCCCAATTCTGCAAAACCTCATAGGAGATATTCCTTCAAGTTCACAACTTGACCCAACCGTCATAAGCTACCTGGAGAGGTTCAACAATACTCTCCAAACGATTAACCAAAGGTTGGATCGTTTGGATCGGGCTGCACCACCCGAATCAAATGAGGCAGTGCCACCGCCTAAGACGCCTACAGGTCACATAAAAGCACGAAAAAGGGCAAAAGCCCATGCTGCACGCACTACAGCGCATCAAAGGAAGGGCAAGCAAGTGGCGAACAGTGGGCCTAAGGGCTTTAAATGGCTGGCAAATACCGACCACGTCCCGGGCAGAACACCCTTGGCGTTAAGGCTCGGTGACAGGTCACATCCCGAGCTGTCCCATGCCACGTCACATGAGTACTCCCACAAAAGTGTTGGGTGGAATGATTCTTATCACCACCAGAATGACGATCCCGATTGTCATTGCGCGGGAGGTTTTGATACTCTGCGGAGCGGTTTGTACCACCGCGGAGGTCGCGAAAGTTCCCCACACCATTCATTGCCATCACATGGCTCTAGCAAGCGTGTTTCGAGAGCGACCGGAACTGTCAATCAAGGCGAGAAGGAATCTGACCTCCAGACTTTCCTCAATCGCAATCTCGAGGGTCGAACCCATATGGGGGAAAGCAATCCCCAAATGGCTCTGCTGCCTCAGATTAAGGAATTACAGCGAGCTTTGGATCAGCTAAAAGCTCAAAAAAATGAGCAAGGGTAGGTCGCAGAAGCGTCTCCCTTTTCTTTGGCTATGTTAGCCGCCCCTCTCCAATCCAGATTCGGAATGCTCGATATGCAAGCGTTCGATGGAAATTCTGATCCGCAGGATCACTTATACGAATTCAACAACCTGATGGAACTTCATCAAGTTTATGGTTTGGCAAAATGTCGATGCTTGGCAGTAACTCTTACATCTCATGCCAAGTGGTGGTTTAGGTTGCTCCTAGCGGGATCAATAAGCTCATGGAACCAGATGAGCTCAACATTCTTAAGACACTTCTAAGTGAACAGGAAGTTCTCAATGCCTTTAAGCTACCTTAACAACATAAGGCAAGAGAGGAATTAATCCCTCCAATCTTACATCGACAGGTTCCACAAAGAGCTCCATAAAGTAGCTCACACTCCCGAAGAGTCCGTTTGGACTTTCATCATAGCTGGAGTTCGTCCACAGACAGATTTGTTGAGGGAACTACCATCAGAGGATGATGTTTCTCTGACTCATTTTTACAACCTTACGGAGAAATACCTCTGTATTGAGAGCTCCATGGCAGCGCTCCACCGCCACAACCCCGATACTTCTGGCAATGCACTAGGTCAGAGGGAAAATAAGAGAGTTGATCGCAGATGGGCTAATGACGATCAACAAAAAAGAAAGAAACCTCGGTTTGAGCCCAAGAAGTCTTATGCTGCAATTCCTCGTCGCATTCGCGACAGGACTGAGTATACCCCTTTGAATACATCTGTTTTAGCCATTCTTGATAAATCAGAGGAGGCCAGTTTGCTCGGGGAGCCTGAGCCCATGAAAGGTCTCTCCTCATCCCGAAATAATAAAAAATACTATCGTTATTATAGGGACAATGGGCATCACACCAATGAGTGTCGAACCCTCAAGTAGGCAATTGAAAATCTTATCAAGTAGGGGCATTTCAAAGAGTATGTTGATGACTTTGCTCCCGCAAGGGAGAAAAATCAAGAGGAACCGAGTAAGAAACGTCGTGATCGCAAGGGTGTCTGTAGCATGGGGATAATCTTTGGAGGACCGCATCTAGGAGGAAACTCGTGAGTTGCCCAAGAAAGATATGCTCGCGTAGCCTATCACGACCCCATCAGTGTGATGAACACGACGCAGCGACCACCGAAGGTTCACAGGGAGGAGGAAATCACCTTCTCTGAAAAGGATGGAGTCTGATTGCATCATCCCTATGATGATGCTCTCGTCATCATGCCCCTAATAGGGCGCTCTGACGTCCACAGAATGTTGGTGGACAATGGAAGCACTGTGAAAATCCTGTTCCAGTCAGCTTTCGAAAGAATGAAGTTGGATGAGGCCGACCTGAAGCCCGCCTCAAACCCCCTATATGGTTTTAGATGATCCCCAAAGGAATGATCTCGCTTCCAGTCACGCTGGGTGACTCTGCCAAGGTGACCAAAACAACTGAATTCTTAGTAGTGGATTGCCCATCCGCATTCAATGGCATTCTAGGGCGACCTATACTGAGGAACTTCAAAGCAGTCACTTTGATTTACCATCTCAAGATGAAGTTCCCCACCCCGACTGGGATAGGGGAAGTAAGCGGATCTCAGTGCACATCTCGTGACTGTTATGTGAAGGCAGTGCAGATGGTATGCAAAGGGAAAGGCATCTCGCGTGGCATTCCCAAACAGGCAATGGCGATCAGTCGGATCGAACCATAGCCTGGCCCAGCCAAGGATAATATGGATCCTTGTATCCAGGAATGCCGTGCTAGTGGGCCAGTTGAGGATCTAACGGAAGTATCAGTCAACCAGAGCGAGCCAAGCAGAGTGTTGAGGATTGGAAGCAATCTCAACCCCCAACTCGCTAATGACCTAATCAGCTTTCTTAGAGAAAGTATTGATGTGTTCACATGGACACATGCCGATATGGTCGGGATCAGCCTGGACATCATTTTCCATGCCTTAAACATTGATAGTGAAGCCAAACCGGTCTGCCAAAAAAGAAAGGCGATGGATCCAGAGCGGTATACTGCCCTAAAATCGAGGTAGATAACCTCTTTTAGAATGGATCTATCAGAGAAGTGCTTTACCCGAGCTGGCTTGGCAACCTAGTTCTAGTAAAAAAGCCCAATGGCAAGTGGCGGACCTGTGTTAACTTCACTGACCTCAACAAAGCCTACCCAAAAGATAGATTTCCCCTGCCCAGGATCGACTAGCTTATTGATGCCACCTCCAGGCATGACTGTTGAGTTTTATGGATGCATAGTCGGGATACAATCAAATTCCAATGTATGCGCTGGACGAAGAGCATACCTCCTTTGTAACAGATCGAGGGCTATATTGCTATAGAGTTATGCCCTTTGGCCTAAAGAATGCTGGTGCAACTTACCAGCGGTTAGTTAACTGAATGTTTTTGGAGCAGATCGAGAAGTTGATGGAAGTCTATGTTGATGACATGCTAGTCAACCCGCATGTGGCTTC